CAGCGGGGACTCCAAAGTTTTAGCTGTGGCTTGCCTCAATATATGGTCCTGTGGCCTCTCCTTTCTCTCTTTATCTCAATATACTTCTCTCTCCTCAAACAGTTCATAAAAACGCCCAGTAGAGGCCGGGTTTTCACATTGCTGAAGTGACAATGGCTCCCCAGGCTCCTCCGACAGAGCTTTTCTGCCTTGGAGAAGTGGTACCCAGTAGCAGGCCTGACAGACTTCAGACCAGTGAGTCTGACTTGCCATCTCCTACTGGATGGCTGGGCTTTCTATCTGAGGTTTATTGCTGTGGTCAACACTGACAACCCAGATCACATCTGAAGCTGTGTTCTGCTTTTCCCATCTCACTGAAATGGAAGGGTGAGAAAAGGTCTTTACTGTGTTTTGTTTGACTTTAAGAAATGTCTCAGATGCAAGTTCAGTGAGGGACACTGAGATGAATTGTTGGGAGTAAAGCGCTTATTAGAAATGTTATTAGTGTCATGTCAGGGGCTCCGCGGAGAACCAGGGCCCTCGAGGCAGACGAGTGGGGAGTGTCTCTTCTACCTTTTGGACTATGGGGAGGTTTCATAGTGCAAGCATTTCTCCTGACCTCAAGAGCAATTGTGCTTCTTCTGCCCAGGTCCCCTGGCCACCGAGTCTTCTGAATCTGTTCTGTGTGCTCTGGTAACCCCTGGTCCAGCATGCACAGGCATGTGGAAATGGCTAGATACCTGGTCAGTTTATTAGCAGCTGCTGAACACAAGATCAGATTCAGATACTACAGCACCACATTCTCCCAGATCAGCCAGTTTGCTTCTACGTGTGGGTATTGGCAAGTTCTTATTAGGGCTGCTTTGCCACAAGAACCATAGTGGGTCAGAGTCAATGAGAGGCAATTGTATGCCTTCTGCTCAAAACTAATCCTCACAAGTTAGTGACTATTAATAAAAAAGGTGAAAACTGAGAGGGTTTAAATTCCAAGATTTTTCCAGATTAATCTCCCCAAAGAATCAGGTTTTAAGACTTTAGGCTTCCGGAGGCTGTGTTCTTTATACATCTTATGGAATGCCTGGGCATGCTGAAGGAGCAGCTGAGGCAGTAAGATAACAAACATACAACGTCATGACGCTGCTCTGTAACTCCCAGCATCGGGTGCTACACTCCTGTGTAGGGTCCGCTTCACAAAACAAGATGCCAGAGATTAATCCCGGGGCTCCATGTCCAGCATCTGAGGCTTGTGAGGGAATCATCTGGTCTCCAGAGGATTGATGTAGGCCCTTCAATTCCAGTTTGGCTACCTTCAGCACACAAAGTCTCTCTCTTGAGATGGCTCCCCTTCCTACACATATCTTTCCTTAGGGTATATGCTATGATTTTGGCACCTCCAACATTCTACGATTTCCTTTGCTACTTGGGTTTCACCCTAATTTCACAAATGGTCTCTCATGACCTTCTTGCAGGGATTACAACTCTGCCGCATACTGCCTGGCCTTTGCAGCTCTCTGGAACCATGGGGTAACATTTGTGATCCTCTTAATCTTGAGTCTTTCGTGCTGTGGGGAGGGGACAATGGTAAAAGGGGACGATGTAGCCAAGTTCTATTGCCATCTTGGGATGGAGCCTGGTTCACTTGGGACTTCTTGAAGTCTCTGTGTGTGCTTCCTCTAGGGGAGACCCTTTCCTAGACCGTTGCTTTCCAGAAGTAGGGAACCCTTCCTACACTTGAAGCTTAGCTCTTTTAAAATGAATTTGTATATCGACAAGTTGGAGCCTTAGATGAGGTGTTTCCCTCGAGGCCTGTTTATCCCAGTGCAGGGCAGGTTTATTTTTAACAATAGCAGTCTCTTTCTTAGCATCCCTGTTGGTTGCAACTTTAAACTTTCTTTCTTCCTCACAAAAAAAATGCATTTTTTTTACATTTATGTTTTGCCCAGTATTTGGCTTCACTCCACTGAAAGTCTGGATAAGAGCAATAAGCAGAAGCCATTCTAGAGTCTAACTGTCCTATCTGGAAATTTCCTCTGCCAAAAGTTAATTCATTATATCTTGATTTAGCCTATGGTGGTCATTCAAACCACCACACTGAGTTTACTTAGAACAATGGTTTTCTTTGGATTTGATCCCAGCACTGTAAAATAAACTATTATGAATTCCTTGTTGGGAAATTTACAGATCTCAGTTTCTTTGGAGTTTGTTACTGGATTATTATTCTTTTATGGTATCATGTTTCCTTGATTTGTTTTTAGTTTTTATTTTAAATAAACATTAAGTTTCTGAGATAGGGTCTCATGTAGCCCGGGCTGGCCTCAAACTTACCACAAAGCTGAAGATGACCAGGAAATTTGATCTTCCTGCCTCTCAAATGCTGGGCAGGCAGGCATGACCTGTCTGTCACACACAAACACAAACACACACACACACACACACACACACCTCAGTCTTTACTTTCAAGTCTTTGCTGCATATGTATAAGAAACCACACCTCTTCCAGATTAATTTTTTAATTTTGTGTTTGAGCATCCATGTGTATATAAACGGACATGCTGGCTCACACATGCTACAGATCACGTGTGGCAGTCAAAAAGACAGCTTGGGTGAGTCAGTTCTCTCCTCTGACCATGGATCCTGGGGATCGGTCTCAGGGTGTCAGGCTTGGAGGCAGGGCCACCTTACTGACTGGGCCATGTCTGTGGCCCCTCCTCCAGGCTGTACTGACTACCTTTGGGAGAGAATTTACCGATTAGCCTGGCCATGGACTCTGAGACACAGACATTTGCCATGGACTTACCTGCTTCACACATCTGCTCCCTCTTGTCTTCTCTCTGTCCTGAAAAACCAGGCTAGGTGTACGGAGCTTCCTGTTTGCTCTCCCTAGTCTGGGCGCCTTCTAACGCTGTCAAGTTGAGTGAGTCTCTGCCTGAGATACTTGAGGTTCTGTCCATGTGGACATGCCTGGGAAGCCAGCCTCACTGATCAAGGGTACGGCATACATAGGAATGTCCACAGGCGAGGCATCCCAAGTGGCTCTGGGTCGTCCTTCTCTGCTGCTAGCCTTTCCAACATTCAACTCTCCCAACCGCCTCATTATTCTGGCTGGGCCAGCCAGGAAGCACAGCTTTCTGCACAGCTGATGAAGTGAGAGTTGGCTCTGTGCCCTCGGATGGAGCTGCTCTGCACTGTGATGCATCACTATGGCTGCGGGTGATGTGGTTAAAGTGAACTTGTCTTAGCTTCTCAGTGTGTCTGCCCACAGGTTTTCTGCTCGAGCTGACTGAAACCTCCCTGCTGGACTTCCAGATCCCCGACAAAAGTGCCGTCCATGAAGAGTGTGAGAAACGACACTTTTGAGAGAAATGCTCTGCTGTCTTGCTGATATCACCCTCTCTTAAGTTTTTTTTCTAGACTTGTATTTATTATCTTAAATTCTGTGCATGTGTGGGGCATATACATGTGTGCAGTTGCCATGGAGGGCACAAGAGGGTGTTGGATCCCTGGGACGGTTGGGAGCGGCCTGATGCGGGTGTTAGAAACAGCACTTGGGTCCTCGGCGATGGCCGCATGCAGCCTCAGTGCTAAGCGCTTTCCCAGTTTACTCTTACGTGATTTCTTAAAAAAAATATTTATTTATTTATTTATTTATTATGTATACAATATTCTGTCTGTGTGTATGCCTGCAGGCCAGAAGAGGGCACCAGACCTCATTACAGATGTTTGTAAGCCACCATGTGGTTGCTGGGAATTGAACTCAGGACCTTTAGAAGAGCAGGCAATGCTCTTAACCTCTGAGCCATCTCTCCAGCCCCCTCTTACGTAATTTTTAAGTAAACATTTTATTCTCTGTCAAGGGCTGGTCCCAGTGGGTTTCTCTAAGATCACATGACCATTTTGTAGCTTCCACACATACCGGGCACCAGAACTTGTTTTTAAAATACACAAGTGTAGCATTAAAAAAATAAATTTATTTCAAGTATGAAATAATGAAGAAAAAACACATAAGGAAATTATAAAAATAGTAAAAATAAGATTAGAAATGAAGACATCAGACACAGGTGCTGTTCTAGTTACTAACACAAACATTTCACACGAAACATTTCTCCAACATTCCCAAAGACAACAGCCATGTTCACAGTGCTTCCGAGTGCAACGGCGTCTGAGAACACAACTGTGCTCCTAAATCATCTGCTAAACCTGACACAGGTGATAATTACTACTTCTAAAGCTATGACACAAAATTATATCAAATCCTAACCTTCTATGTTATCTACAACATTCACTTAAAATACTGACGACATCAGGAATTCACTTTGCATTGTTACATCGTACGTTATCCCTTTCCAAACAATGGCAAAGCACATATATGCTTTTCAGACATTAAATATTCCAGCTTCCAACTGTGATTTGTTCAGAGTTTCGGGAACTCAACAAGCACATGATTGTTGTAAACAGTATTGTCCATTTAAAGATAGAAACAGTTGGGGGAGACTGTGTTTTTGGTCATCTTTAACCTGTGGCATAAATATCAAAAGAAGTTACTGATTATACAGATTGATTTGCCTGAACTACAGACTGGCTAAAAAGGTTAAAAAGCTACTGAAAGACCCTGTCTTTACACAGGAGCAATACAACTGGTCATTCAATTGCCCAAGGAGTTTTACTTGAACTAGATTTCCCGTGGTGCAGTGATCTGCTCTACTCCATGATGGATGAAGACAGGGTTTCTCTGTGGAGCCTTGGCTGTCCTGGAACTCACTATGTAGACCAGGCTGGCCTCAAACTCAGAGACCTGCCTGCCTCTGCCTCCCAAGTATAGGAATTAAAGGTGTGTGCCACCACTGCCCAGCAAACAACAATATTTTTAAGAGGTCTTTAAGATCAGTGGTTCTCAACCTTCATTATGCAATGTCCCTTTAACACAGTTCCTCATGTTGTGGTGACCCCCAACCATAAAATTATTTTATTGCTCCTTCATAACTGTAATTTTGCTACTATTACAAATCATAATATAAATATCTGATATGTAATCCCTGTGAAAGGGTCATTCAACTCCCAGAGGGGTCGCAACCCATAGGTTGAGAACCACTGTTTTAGATCAAAGTTAAAGTATTTATTTCCTGAATCACAAAAATGCTGCCAGAGAGGCTAAATGATGTGTCCAGAGTTACCATGACAGAACATACCAAGGACACAAAACCAGGTCCTGATCCTGAGCGATAGTAACTCTTCCAGTACATTTTCCAGTGTCAGATTCTACACAGATTATAGCATTTGATGAAAATGAATAATATCAAAATAAATCAATGTATATTTTGCCTAAATCAAAGTTGCATGTGTTTCAAACATATTCATTACAAGATTGGCTTTTCTGCGTGCTTTTTGATGTAATTTTTTGGTAAAATTTACAAAATTACACTATTTAAATGTTACTGTTGATAAAACGTCATGGCGCTATGCCTAGAGTCGGAGTGCCAATGTCTCACTGTGAACAAGACAGTGGTAGGCACTGTGAAAACTCACTTGGTCCCATTCTCCTTGTCCTGAGCATCGACGCCCACAGAGTGGCAACCACGTACACTCTGAGGTGGAGGAGAACCTGTCCCCAGCACGCATAGAACATGTGCAGAGGCTGCCAACCTTCAGAGGGCAAAGGTCAGAAAAATGATCCTGGAAACCCAGCAGCTAGTATTTCAAGGGCTCTCTGAAGTTAGCACAGACTCCTTATCTTAGGTATCTCCAAGGCAAATATTGATGTGACATAAGAAATCATGAGCTAGCACGTAACACAAATGAAATTTTCTTGAAAGAGAGTAAAAAATAGACAATGGGCGTGAAACTATTCTATTTTAGAGTTGCACTGAAAATACAGTGTTAGCATTTATTTATTTGTATGAAGTCAGCACGGAGAGGAATTCCAGACGGTCTGGGTGTGCCTCGGCTCCTTAGCTAACCAGAGTATAATGGATTCTGTGATATGCTTTATACAACTGTTTTTTGTTTGATTGTTTGTTTGTGGGACGGAATGTATCACACACTGTACAACAACAGCATGAAAGATGGGAAAAGTCCGAGTGCTTCTCTGGAATCCGGATCCCAGCCCTGATCTCCAGCGAGCCAGCTTCCTGGTGTGTTCGGTGCTCACACTGCTCAGCCCAGTGAGACGACAGTTAACTGGAAACGCACTGGACGGGTCTGTATGTGAACTGCACACACTCTTGCATGTCTTACGGGAACTAGAGCCCCATAAAAAACATACGTTCTGAAAAAAATGTCAAGATTGCTACTTCATGGACACGCTACACAATTGAAAACGGACAATATTAGATGAACGGTAGGTGTTAACAAAGCGCAAGTGAGGGCATTTTAACCAAATGTCGCCAAATTAACAGTAAAAACAATATTCAGAGTTCACACAGTAATTTTCAAGTAAGCGTCCTCACCGCTCGCTCACGCAGCTTCTCAGGGACAATGGCACGCCCACGCTGAGGGGCAGGCGCTGTCCCCTCCTCAGAGTGAAGATTCTGACTGCATAGACATCACCTTTGGTTTCTGATCTGTCAGACTATCAACAGGCACCTGCAAAAGTAACTGACATTGAAGGGATGTACCACACCGACATGTTATTCAACAGACAATTGGTGAATTGACTCAAAAAATAAAGACTAAAAAATAAGAGTTGATGATTAAAGAAGACTGGTTCCCCATTTGCCCCCTGTGTGCTTAGAGCACAGCCACAGAAATGCTACTTACAGCTTTAACGGCTCCATTCGCCAACCCCATGTTTACGCTGTGCCTCCTCAGATCAGTCTTGATCAAGGCTAAAACAGAAGCACCCAGAGTTACCACAAAAGGGTTGCCATCTCCTTCTGTGTTATACATGGAATACACAGTGTGAAGTGCTGATAGCAACTGTATTCTAACACGTGACACACGGTACACAGTGCTGATAGCAACTGTATTCTAACACGTGACACACGGTACACAGTGCTGATAGCAACTGTATTCTAACACGTGACACACGGTGTGGAGTGCTGATAGCAACTGTATTCTAACACGTGACACACGGTACACAGTGCTGATAGCAACTGTATTCTAACACGTGACACACGGTACGCAGTGCTGATAGCAACTGTATTCTAACACGTGACACACGGTGCTGATAGCAACTCTATTCTAACACGTGACACATGGCGTGGAGTGCTGTGAGCGCCAGCTGCCCGCTGAGCTGGGAAGACACCCAGGTGTTGGGCTTTAACCACCAGCATCCGTCAGCTACAGACACAGGTGTGACAGTGAGGTGTAGAAATGGAGGAAAAGTGGTGACTTTAGAATTCCTTGTTTGGCCGGGTGAGTGGAGGACAGCACGAGCTAAGGGAAATACGAGAGAAACAGGTCCGCACTGCGGGAACACAGTGAACTGGGTTCTGAACAGGGAGCCCTAAGGTGCCCATAGGTCCAAGTGGAAGGTGATAAGACACATGAGATAAATAATTCATATAATTCTTGTAAGTTTTTTAGAAGGATTATTTTTATTTTACCTATATGGGTGTGTGGCTTGCATGTATGTCTGTACAGTGCCAGAGGAGGCCAGAAGAGGGCATGGGATCCTCTGGGACCAGCGTTAGATGTTGTGAGCGACCATTTGGGTGCTGGGAATTAAACCCGGGTCCAGTGAGTCATTTCTCCTGTATTGTCCAGTATTGTCTTTTACACAGAGTAGTGGCATTAAATTTGGAACCACCAAAATGAAAGGACAGACTCACATCCTGAGAGGAAAAACTGTGTTGTGCTTCTTATTTTATTTTCACGCCAGAGTTGTGCAAAGCCCTGAGGCAGCAACACACACAACTGAAGACAGGCGAGACGCTGCACACACTCAGCACTCACCTGTCAGAATGATGCCCAAGAGCATCCAGGCACAGAGGAAAAAGTTTCCTGCCACAGGATCATAGTCTGACATGAGCTTTCCCTGAGCCAAGGTGAACAAAATTCCAAATATCTAAAATAAAATTCGTGAAATAATTTTTATTAATTTTCTGTTTTATTTATTTGTTTGTATTCTGAGATAGGGTTTCTCCGTGTAACAGCCCTAGCTGTTCTGGAATTCGCTTTGTAGACCAGACTGGCCTCAAACTCACACCTGCCTCTGCTTCCCGGTACTGGGATAAAAGGTGTGCGCCACCAGTGCACGGCCACCCGTCTACTGTTTTATAACAAGTACACACACCCACAGAGCCCTCCTTAACTGACCTTTATGATCTGACTTCTAGAAACAACCACTAAAAATCAGGATCATTAACCCACAAAGTCAGGCCAAGTTCACTGCTCACTGACCATAGGAATCACCTGGCTTTTGCTGGTTTTGTTTGTTCCATCTTTTGAGGCAGAGTTTCATACACCCACGCTGGCCTCAAACTCATGATATAGCTAACACTGACCTTGAACTCCTGGTCCTCCTGTCTCTACCTATCAAGTGCTGGGGACTGCTATCACCACACCTGGTTAGCTGTCTTGGGTTAAGAAGAAGCAGAGAGGACTGGAGAGATGGCTCAGCAGTTAAGAGCACTGCCTGCTCATCTATAGATCTGAGTTCATTTCCTAGCAACCACCTGGTGGCTCACAACCATCCGTAATGAGATCTGGTGCCCTCTTCTGGCCTGCAGGCAGACATGCAGGCAGAACACTGGATACATAATAAATAAAAGCAGCAGCCCCAGAAAAGAGGATTACCTGAGCAGCAGCATTGAGAAGCCCAGAGGACGTGCCTTCAGATTCAGGGTAAGTGATCTCAACAGCAAATTCAAAGCCCAGAGGGAGGTAACCAGTCATGAAGAAGCTAGGAGAACAAGACCATGAGACAGGAGGGCTGTGAGAAGGGTGGGCTCTTGGACTGCCGAGGCTCATCTATTTTTACCAACAGCACACCAAAATAGCTTAAACTTTTCTGCTATACTTCTGAGGAACTGTATATGTACATAATGGACCTTCAGAGTTTAAGCTATCAAAAGGACCTTTGGGGCGCCTTTTACACACTCCTTCGCACACCTGACACTTACCCAAGGATCCCACCAGTAACGAACACCACAATGATGTACCCAAGGTCCAGTGTGAACGTAAACACAAGCATCCCAATGAACGACAACACGTACACGATCAGAGTCGTCTGCCTAGAACAAAGACAACATCATCAATGGTTCCCTCCTGATTCTCCTAAGGCACACAGAAAAACGTGGCTGGCTACCACAAACTACCCTTCTCATCTGCGGATAATGTGGCTAGCTCAACAATAATCTTGCCATAGAAAAGAACATTTTTTTTTCAAAGTTTACAACATAAAAAAAAAACAAGATAAAAAAACCCTGGTGCTTCCCTAGGAGGGCTCTTTTTAGACAGAAACAGCCTACTAAAGGCCAGAAGGTTTGTAAAGCATTCATGTAGGTAGATCACTGAAACACTCCCGCCAAGTCTTAGTTAGATATGGTGGTTCATGCTGCTGTCCTGCAGTCAGGCAGCTGAGCAGGACGACAGAGCTCCAAGACAGCCTGAGCTACCTAGTGAAACCCCGTCCTTTAAAATCAATGTATCTTTACGTGTGCACCATGCGTGTATCTACTGTAGCCCCGTCCTTTAATATCAATGTATCTTTACGTATGCACCATGCGTGTATCTACTGTAGCCCCGTCCTTTAAAATCAATGTATCTTTACGTATGCACCATGCGTGTATCTACTGTAGCCCCGTCCTTTAAAATCAATGTATCTTTACGTGTGTACCATGCGTGTATCTACTGTAGCCCCGTCCTTTAAAATCAATGTATCCTTACCTATGCACCATGCATGTATCTACTGTAACTTACTTGTAGGTTTTGGTGTAATCCAGCCATAAGCCACAAAGAATGGAGCCCACCATTCCAGCTACCACCAGCGTTAGCCCAATTCTTCCAGCATTCACCTCTTCTCCCTAAAGCAATGTGATAATCAGATCTCTCTAATTCAAGCTGACGGTTCATATTCCCATACATTCACAGTTAGCAGAAATAATCATATAAAAGTAAGCAAGCACACAATAGGAAGATTCGCCACACGGGCTAGAGTTGTGTTTTTGGAGAGGGTGGTTTATTGAAGAAAACATTCTATTGTGAAACAACAGCAATGACAAAAACAATGATAAAATAATGAAAGAAATAAAAAAGGCACCATTTCCGGGGTAGTCCATGGTTGTACTTACTTTTTGTTAGGACTCTGAAATCACTTAGATATGTGCAAAGAGAGAGCTAAGGGCACCGCTTTTACACAGTAAAAGTGCCAGCTCCTTTTTAAGAGAGAGGCCAGTCTGACCTATGTTTAAGCTTGTATCCCTTACAAGGTTTGTGTCTTTCCATATAACCAAATTACGGTTTTACCACAATGCTAATCATCTTTACTTTCAATGTGTGTTTTGCAAATTAGGTTAAATACGCATAATAACAAGTATGGGAGATAGTGATTTTGAACTGAGTTTACACACTGAGTCCAGGGGACCAGAGCAAACCCGACCGGTGGGACACCAGGCATCACATGGATAACTCAAGAATGTGGCCCTCCACTTTAACTGTGAGACCCATCTGACTTTGAGTCCTGAATCTGCTTTCTTCAGCTTTTCCCACCTCTTAGTTGTAGAGTGAATGCTGTCTTTTAAAAAACAGAAGCCAATCTTTTGCATCAACAAGGTTGATCCTTCATTTTAGGACCATGCTAATGTAAATTACACTGTTAAAGAAAAAGTCGTGGTCAAGCATACAATATAAAAGCAGAAGCTCGCCAGGCACGAAAGCTTACCACATAATATGTCAGTATCATTTGATTTAATAATGTCGAAACAGAATAAAATGCTCCAGTCATGATACCTACAAAGAAAAAATATAAGTTCATCATTCTCTGAAATAACAAGGAATGCTATGCGATATGTAAAATACGTAATAATCAGACAGTCAGGAAGACTAATAGCACCACTGCCACCTTTTGGAAACTGGACAGAAGGACTGAACACTAGGTTTCCTAGAGATCCGTGCTGGAATCTTGGTCTCCCTGAAGGGGAGGGGCAAAGGTGATGGAACCTTCAAGAGGTGGGACCTAGAACAAGGAGATGAGGCACAGGGGCTCTTTGGAGTGAGTCAGTTATCAGCTGAGAAGGCTGTTGTAAAATAAGGCCACCAGATAGCTCGGCCTACTTGGCACATGCTGTCATGATGCTTCCAGGGTTTCTCACCAGAGACCAAGCAGATGTGGCTACCTGGTCTCGAACTTTCCAAAGATATGAAATAAATGCACCTCTTTTCTTGATAAAACATCTTGATCTTGGAATTTTAAATTTCATATGTGTATTCATGAATAATTAGAATTATTCTGCATATAATAAGCTTTATAAGTAGTATGTATCTATAATTTGGTCTTCCCACTCAGTTGTGTGGTTCGGGAGACATGTTCCACTCTAGTTCACTGGTTTTCTCTACTGTGTAATAGTCCACAGTGTGAGTTATCTATTGTCTTATCAATAGACATTTAACATCTCTCCCCCCAGGTTTTCAGAATTTAAAACAAGGCTGCAGTTGATATTAAGATTTTACTCCGGGGGCTGGAGAGATGGCTCAGTGGTTAAGAGCATTGCCTGCTCTTCCAAAGGTCCTGAGTTCAATTCCCAGCAACCACATGGTGGCTCACAACCATCTGTAATGGGGGTCTGGTGCCCTCTTCTGGCCTGCAGGAATACACACAAACAGAATATTGTATACATAATAAGTAAATAAATAATTAAAAAAAAAGATTTTACTCCTAAACACAATGGTGTGTTTCCCTAAATATAACTGCAAGTGGAACTTCTACATTCTAGATGGAATACCCCACCAGGACTCAAAATTCATACAGTACTTCTGAGATCTGCTCATTTTTTTTTTCCATTTTAAAAACATTAGAAAAATCCTTTTAGGAACTTTTGCTAAACACTTACGTTCATAATTAGGCTATGGTGTTTTTGAACCAACCTCATCAATGTCCCAGCCACTAGTGGCAATAAAAAGAATCTGTGGCGCTCTAAGGTGTGTGGCCACTTACCGTAACTAACCAGCAGGAGAACAAAGGGGACGTTTGTGAACAGGTTCCAGATGGAGCTCTTGTACGAGTACTTCGCAGGGGGGCTGTCCTGCAGGGCTGCCTGAGCCTGACTTGGCGGTAACAAAGGCTTTTCCTTGAATGCTGGGAACGTGTGAAAAGAAACACATATGACTAACCTTCCTCTGTGACACCCACATCACACGTGATTAAGTCTATGCATCTTTCTTAGTGAGAGGAGCGACTTTGGTTCAGGATTAAAGAGGCAGTCAAAGTCTTCTATGGCCAAGTTATTGTTTTTTGTTTTTTTTTTCCTTTAGCTCTCTGAACTAAAACTCAGAGATCTGGCCAATTCATTGCCCAATGACACCAACTGCATTTTTACAATCCAGATCGATGTTTACTACGGCAAGGACTTGACTGTTAAGCTCAGTCCCTCGGGAGAGATGAATGCTTGGATTCAGTGGCCTTCCCAGGTAGCAGCCACCCACCATGTCTCCATCGCCACAGATCCCAGATGTACATGTCCCTGATCCTTAGAGATTTCATGGAAAATGCACTTTAGAACTAACAGGTAAATTCAGAAGGGGAGCACACGGGGAGAAGTCACATTCTCTAAGACTGTAATTTCTGCTTTCCCTCCACCCGCCTCCCCCTGCTCTTCTCTCAGAGCTACCCTGTGCACAGTGGAGCCCCCTCCCCCCTCCCTCTCATCATTTCCCCCTTTTCTCATCCCTTTTCCCTTTCCTAACAATTTCTTCTTCTTGGTTGGAAGAGGCCTACTTTATGTTCAATTTGAAGTGGGTTAGGTCTGATGTCTCTGGCTGTCCAGTGGAATCATCTGGAAATTTAAAATTAATACTGATTTTGAGGCTCTATGTAAAGTTTAATGAGCAGAATCTCCAGGGCGGAACATGAGACTATGCTAAAGAGAAAAATTCTTGGATGTTCCCAGTGCACAGACATATTTGAGAGTTACTGGGGAAGAAACAATCCTGTAACTCCCACAAAATGTTATGAGTCATCATTTTATTGGCTGGTATGAATAAAAAATTAAAGTTTTTGTTGGAAAGAAAATTTTAATAATGGAAATTTTAAATGTTTTAAAGAAAAATTAATAATTAAAATTAATAATGATGTAGCTAAAACCAAACTACTTTGGAGCTCAGAACTAGTTCAAGAGGGACAAAACGCATAGGTACTTATTTGTAGCCCTTACATTGGAGCCCGGTAGACACAGAACCTTTAGCTGCTGCAGCTCTTCCTTCCTCTTCCTTTCTCCCTATCTGATCCTTGCACTGTTAGGAGGCTCGTGTCTGCCCTGCAAGTCTCTCTGTGCTCTAGTTGGACAGGAGATATTTCTTTTTATTAGCATAGGTAATACAAAACCTTCACAGTAGTAAATCAAGATTTCAGACTATAAATAATTGTAGCCATGAGTTTCCAATAAGTCTTAAATATCTTTCCTAGATTTAAATTTACTATAAAAAACAAATCAAAATAAACCAAAAATGGATTTAAAAACTCACATAAATTAAAAATAGCCCTCTCCAGTCTTTAGCTCCATTCAGGTTTACTTTCTGAACACAAGAATCAACCTCCAGTTTCAGAGAGATGAAGTATCTCTTGGCAAATGTAACCTGTACCTACCAACTACACACCGTGGGAAGTCAGACTCCCGTACCCACCAACTACACACCGTGGGAAGTCAGACTCCCGTACCCACCAACTACACACCGTCAGGTGATGGAGGAAGGTCATTGGTTAAAAAAATAAAGAAACTGCTTGGCTGGCCCTCATAGGTTAGAACACAGGTGGGTGGAGTAAACAGAACAGAAGGCTGGGAGGAAGAGGAAGTGAGCTCAGACTCGACAGCTCTCCTCTAGGGAGCAGACGCCTCAGAGAGATGCCATGCTCCCGGCTCCTGGACAGACGGATGCGATGAAGCTCCGACCAAGGATGGACGTAGGCTAGAATCTTCCAGGTAAGCGCACCTTGTGGTGCTACAAAGATTATTAGAAATGGGCTAGTCCAGGTGCGAGAGTTAGTCGAGAAGAGGCTAGATATAATGGGCCAAGCAGTGTTTAAAAGAATATAACTTGTGTGTTGTTATTTCGGGTATAAGATAGCCAGGCGGCCGGGGTGCTGGGGACACAGCCCCGCAGCTCCTAATACAACAGAACGGCACCCAACGCTCTTATTACTACAGTCAGGTCAGATTCAGTGCTACCTCAGGAAAACAAGGACCGAAAGGTCATCTATGACCTTTCTATGTTGTGCAGCTATCTCAAAGTAGGAAATAGGTCCTTTTGTTTTTCTTTTTTTTTTTTTGAAATGGGGACCTCTTTTTTTTCCCACTAAAAACCTGTGCCAATAAAAGAATTGATTATTAGCTCCAAGTAGCCGCTGATCTCCACCCGGCACTGGGCACATGAAGTCGCCAAGAGCTTGAGGAGCCCCTCGAGCTACGGTAAAGAAACGGGGACATCCAGAGCCCTTCTGTGAGTGTGTGAGCCTCGGACAGATCTATCTACATACTGTCCACCAGAAGGCAAATAAATACACGATCAGCCCCTGCCCCGTCTTATGTACGTCTCAGTGTCAGAGTGTTATATGTCACTGAAGTGACAATAATGAGCTGCTATAAAGATCACAAAACTATGTAAGATTTTATAATTATCAGTGCTAATAAAATGTATTGTCTCATTTGAAATATATTCACTTAAAGTGGAACTCAGTGGGGCACGTCCTTAATCCCAGTACTCGGGAGGCAGAGGCGGGTGGATCTCTGTGACTTTGAGGCCAGCCTGGTCTGCAGAGTGAGTTCCGGAACACCCAGAGCTACACAGAGAGACCAAAAATAAAAAATAAATAAATACAATATTCACTTAAAAAACAGACTTTGCCTCAAGAGCTTAAAATACTTATAGATTAAGTAAGTAAAATGCATCTCTACTAAAAGTTTTATAGCCAATGTAGACATCTTGAATAGAAGCATCAAAAGTACAATGACACAGCTATGTTATAACTCTTGTGTTTATGCAGACTAATATGGAATTAAATGTTTTTTCTTTTTTAGGGGGTGGGGGAGTTTGAGACATGGTTTCTCTAGCCTTGGCTATACTGGAACTCACTGCATAGACCAGGTTGGCCTTAAACTCAGAGATCGCCTGCCTCTGCCTCCCAGGTGCTGGTAAAGAATCCTGAGGCCAAAATCGTGTGGTGTGTGCTTACTCAGGCTGTGGTGCACACCTACGATCCAAAGGTGAGAGGCCAGCTTCTCCAAGAATGAGGGACTAGCATGGATTCAGTAGGAGGCGAGGGTTAGTTCCTCGGAGTCCCGGCCAGCTGCCATCCACACCCCACGAGGACAAGGAAGTCACACAAAGTGAACCTTTCAGGAAGTCCTAGTTCAACACATGTCATGTCACTAAAAACTGTAATTTATGCTATAAATTATATGGATCTGGCTGAATTTTTAAGTAATTATCAGTAGAATTTAGAGGGATGTAAGCGCATCTCTTCTAGCGAATAAGGCACTTCAAGTAAAGAATTTCCAAATTCAGTTTTCTACCTTAGCAAATATATCTGAGTACGACACAGTTGCCTTTCTAATTAATGTCACAATCTTCACACAATAATGGTTTGGTTTTTTTGAGACAGGGCCTCGCGTAGCCAAGGATAACCTTGGATTCCCGATCCTCTGGTACCTACCTCCCAAGTACTGGGCTTATAGTATATGCCCCCTTGACTAATTCTTACTTTGCTTTTATACTATGTCTAGAGTCTTAAGATTAAATAAAAATGTAGGGCACTAGGGCTGGAGAGATGGCTCAGAGGTTAAGAGCACAGACTGTCCTTCCAGAGGTCCTGAGTTCAATTCCCAGTGACTACATGGTGGCTCACAACCACCTGTAACAAGATCTGGTGCCTTCTTCTGGCCTACAGGGATACACGCATACAGAATGCTGTATACAAAATTAATAAATATTTTATAAAAAAGTAGGATACTAAAACAAACTTGAAAACAAGTCCTTTTTTATTCCAGTGTTTCCAGACCTCCACTTCTGTTTCCACTCTCAACCCACAAGCTACAAGTACATCAGTAACTAGTTAGATATGTAAATACCTCACTCTTTAATTTCTCAAACTACTAAAGATAATAACCCCACAGTCCTACCTATTCTATTGTTCTTACTCCTGCTCTAATAGTTTATACATATATACATGTCATGAAAAACTTCAACTATAGATATTATTTTTAAGGTTTCATTTTATTTTAGATTTATTTCATGTGTATGCATGACTTGCCTGCATGTCTTCATGTATAGCATTAGTGTCTGGTGTCCACAGAGAGGGCATCTCTGGAACTCTGGTTGTGCGCTAGCTACATGTGCATGCTGGGAACGGAACCAGGTCCTCTGCAGCCAAGTACACAAGTGCTCTTAACCACTGAGCTATCTTTCCAATAATTAATTCATTAAAAATATCTCAGCTTTTAATTCCCTGTACAAGTGTGTGTTGGTTTTTGGGGTTTTATTCACGTGAATGCAGTACACAAGGTCCCCTGTAGCTGGAATCACAGGTTATGGGTCACCCAATGAAATGGGTGCTGGGAACACAACTTGGGTCCTCTGCAAGAACAGAAAGTGCTCTTAGCTGCTGAGCCATCTCCCAGTCCTTTCTTTTCATAACAACATCTTTTATAATTAATTATTCATTTCTTGTGAGGAGCTCAACTGAAGACACAACAAGATGAGAGCCTGAGAGGTATGTGATTACACATAAGTGACTGGAAGACATTTAAACTTAACCCTACTGAAGGGCAAGATCCACTTCTCTAAAGTGCACAGCAGCGACATTTCCTACTTTGTCAAGCAAGCCAAATGCACCAACCGGAAAGGCAGACTCAAGGTTCCCTCACAGTGTGTATTTTGTTAAAATACTAAAAGAGTACAAGGAAAACTTGCCCTTTTCAGCAGTGTGTACAGCACAAATACGCCACTCCCTGACTAACGGCAACACGTCCTGGCATACTTCAGATGCCACGAAGAGAACATTCCGTTCATTATCTCAAGGGAAACTGCAGGCTTGGGCTGAGCTTCCTATACCTGACCCTGCTGCTCATCCACCCAGGTAGTCAGCAGGTATTTCTCTGAAAACTCTATATTTGGAGATCACAAAATATGAAGTTTTCATTAATATCATAGCAAGGTAAAAAGTTCAATATGTAAGTCTAAAACTTGCAACTAAACAGGCTTTAACTATAAATGTTAATTAAGAACTGGTCTGAGAACTTCATAGTTCCTTTTCTGATAAAACCCATCTAGGAGAGACTGAGAGTCTCACAGGCACTGCCCCAGTCACGGCAGCGATGTATCTTAGACACGCCTAGCTTCTCCCCTAAAATCAAAACTGCCTCCCCTTAAAAATAAACTTTAAAAAAAAAAAAAAAAAGCAGACCTTCCCAAAGCTTCTTCCAAGCTGGTGATGGCTGCTTGCAGCTGACTCTGACTGACTCCTTCAAAAGACAGGCCCAGACGAGAGGACTCGGGGACGAAGGGTGGCAGCCGGGCTTTGCTGAGGTGGCCTAGCAAGCAGACAGTTGCCACAGTTTGAAATTCTGAACAGCTCGATGCTGCCCAGGGTGATTCACAGGTCAACATTCTAAACCCAGTTAATGGTAAACTGGGGATCCCTGGGGGGTTCCTAGGAAAGGGAAGGTGTAGCCTGTGAGCGTCATTTTAAGCATGACGGGCACTAGCTGCAGGCTAGGTAAATACAGGATGCACACCACACGGATGGACATGGAAAGGGAAGCCAGGCAGCATGTTTGAAATGAACACTTACCAAGCTGGGTTAGTAGAAAGATAAATGGGACTGATTAGTCTTCAAACCCTTTAGAACGTTAAAAAGACAAGCAAACATGGTGTGGACCACACCATGGCCCTAGAGCTGCCCCACTCCGTACCTGGGCAAGACGCTGCACGGCAAGAACAGAGTACTGGAGACACCATCAGCAGAACTCCCCGGGTTGGTCATTCCCATCTATCTGACATGCATTTATCTAGGTCTCAGGACAAACAGTTCACTTACCAATTACTGTTAAAAAAAATAAAAGTGTGGAGATAAATGCTGTTCCGTAAAACATGGTGTTGATGTTATAAGCCAGAAGGTCTGTGTTATTCTCCACGTTGGGCACTAAAACAGGTGGCAACAGAAAGCCAACTGCAGCTCCAAGCTGTAAAAAAACAGTCCTGTTAACGACTATCAATAGCAAACAGAGCAAATGTTGGCATTTAACAGAATATGAAGAATGGTAGTGCGTACAAAGACGCGCTGTAAATCCTAAAAAGTCTGTTCTAATGTCTCTGTTCTACTGTACTGATGAAGAAAAACTGCTGCCAAACTTCTCCCTTATATCTGATGAGGGATTAAAAAACTCCTACAACGTGGGGAAATATTTCCAAATCCTATCTGATAAGGAACTAGCATGCAGAATAAAAAGGTTTTTTTTAACAAACCAACAACAAAAAGATAAGAATCCCAATGTTAAGTGGGCCAAATACTTGAAAAGACGTTCTTCCAAAGAAGATACGCAAGCAGCTAAGAAGAATATAGAAAAAAAAAAGTCAATATCATGTTGTTAATGGAAATACAAATCAAAATGACAATGATACTCCATCTTACATCCACTGGGATGAGTGTGATTATAGAAACAGAAAACAAGTATTCACACCAGACAGTGGTGGCACATGCCTTTAACCCCAGCACTTGCGAGACAGAGGCAGAGGCAGAGGCAGGCTGATCTCTGGGAGTTCAAGGCCAGTCTGGTCTACAAAGTGAGTTCGGGACAGCCAGGGTGGCTACACAGAGAAACCTTGTCTCAAACCAAACAAACAAACAAGCAAACAAAGGAAAAGTGTTCACAAGGGTGGGAGAAACTTGAACCCCGTAGACTGCTGGTCCAAATGTAAATGGTACAGCCACTATGGACAGTTTGGCAATTTCTTCAGAAATTTAACACAGAACTTAAATACGATGTTTCAATTCCACTTGTAGGTACATGCCCCCAAACTAAAAATAGATAGTCAAATCAACTACACTCAAATATGGCAACCCCATTCACAGACCCCAAACACAGTAATAACCTAGACTTTTATCTGGCATGTTCACACAAAGAAGCATATTCATTTGTAAGAAAGAATGAAGTACTCATGTATACCACGGACTTTGAAAACACGAGAGAGAACTAAGTCAGACACAAAAAGACATACATTATATAATTCCATCTGTACAAAATAGTCAGCATAGACAAATTCATACAGAAAGCAATTAGGGGCTGGCAAGCTGGCTCAGTGGGTAAGAGCACTTGCTGAGCAAGCATGAGGACAAGAGTTCTAATCCCAGCACCCACATAATAAGCTGAGCATGGTCCTGTGCACACCTGTACCCACAGCCCTGGGTGTGAGGACAGGCGAAGGTGACTTCCAGGGCCTGATGGCTGACAGCTTAGCTAAAACCCCTCAACTCCAGATTTATGAGACTCTTCTTCTAAAGAATAAGGTATAGGGTGTTTGCGGGCATCCAAAATCCCCTCTGGTTTTCAAGTGTGTACTCACCCAGCCACCTTCTTCCTACATGTACACCTGTACACATACATGGAGACACACACACACACAAAAAGAAATTCAAGGAAAGAAAGTAAATGAGCAATTACAAGATATGTGGAAAGTTACTCAGGGGGAAAAATGAATAACAGACAGTAATGAGCATTAAACGTGCGTATTTTAAAATGTATGAATAATAAACATGGGAAGGTGATAAATGCTACATGGAGAGATAACATTTAATGGTGCACTAAGAAAGTGACTGGGGAGCTCTTCTTGGAATCAAGAATGCTACTGGCTTTTTAAAATGAACTTGAGCCTGGTGGTGGAAGCACACCTTTAATCCCAGCACTTGGGAGGCAGAGGCAGGTGGATCTCTGTGAGTTCAAGGCCAGCCTGGTCTACAAGAGCTAGTTGCAGGACAGGCTCCAAAGTTGCAGAGAAACCCTGCCTTGAAAAACCAAGAAAGAAGAAAGAAAGAAGACAAAATGAACTCGCAGAGAGCTGAGCGGCTCTGCGTATGCAATCATGCAGTCTGAACAGGAAGAATATGCTAAGCATCGGAAGGAAGGTTTCTGCAAAGGTCCTTGTGCAAGTGCAAGCTGGGCACTGCTTAAGAAACCAAACACATAGTAAAGAGGTTTTGTAATTCACAGCGAAGACTTCACATTTAAGGACTCTGGGAAACCACTGGCGAACTTAAAGCACTTGTATTTTCAAAGGTTCCCTCTAGAGACCTGAAAAGATAAAAGCTACCATTCAGGAGCCAGACACTTCTGTGTGAACAAGTTGTATTATTACCTTTGGAAAATGATTCCATTCCTTAAAGTTTCAATTTCCCTGTCTATCATGTGTGGAAACTAATAGGTCCTAACCTTATAATAGGAAGCTGAATGACCATAAATCACTTCAATGCCACTCAGTAACTGCATGATACCACTGAATATTATTATGCATGGTCATTCCATAAATGAGGCTGAAAATGCACACTGGGTCATGATGAGCAACTGTCCAGTTTACAGGAGCCGAGGAAGGTACAGAACAGCTTAGGAGAATACAGGAAGACCCAGAATGTGCCGACAGAGGAAAGTCCACCCATAAGTAAATGTTTCCATTTATTAACCATAAAATTGATGCTTCATAGATAGGGAGTTGATAATATTTTTGTTATGGTCAATGAAGCATTAATCTTGAATAGAATTTAGAAACGAAAATATCTCGAGAAAACATCTGCTATCCAAATATAAAGAAACAACCAGTCAAAGTATCAATATAAATTATTTTGACTACATGGCAATTATAGTTTAGGTGACTCTTATGCATTTTTAGAGAAAGTAAGTAAATCTAACAAATTAAACACACACGTTTAGTCTTTTAGGGTCTTTTAAACCACTATCTTGATCCAAGTGGGATTTGAAGTAGGAAAGTAACATTTTCTGGTTACACAACTACATGTAGCAATATATGTATAACAAGGGAGGGGCAACTAGATTTCCTTCAACTGAACGAATACTAAATATCCTTTACAACGGTGACATTTACAGTAGTGACAAAAACATCTGGTGTTACAAGTGCCCTCTATTAAGAATTTAAATCACAATAAGAGAACTAGGCTGAAATTAACAAATGCAAACGGAACAGTGGGTTGGCTCAGTCAGGTGTTTGGGAGGCTGGCAGGATTCCCCAGAGCTAGGAGTCTGCCAGGGGTACACAGAGAATTCCAGGCCAGCCTGCAGGAGTGAAGGAAACCCTGTTTCAAAATAAATAAATAAATAAATAAATAAATAAATAAATAAATAAATAACAAAGCGCACACACGCCCCCAAACAAACCTTTTGCCTAGTGTTGCTTCTGGAATTCTAGTGGCATTAGAATTTATGACGGAGGGGAAAACAAGGTCATTTCTTAAGCGAGCCTTGGCTAACTAACCACTAACCATTCCATGATCAGCGATTTGCCTTCCACTGCCTGGCTAAGAGCTAACAACTGAACTCAGTAATATTGCCAAGTCTTCATGACCATTTACTGAGCTTTCACTTAGACCTGCTCAGCACCTACCGGGCTGGCTTCACTACAAGTACAATTAAATCGGGGCTGTTCCAAGGGCATTCAGTATGGAAACAAACTTCACAGAATTCAACACCATCCTTCTGCAATGGTGACAAAATTACCTAGGAGATCTCCTTCACTGCCAAAGCTTCCGTGCGTGCCTGTTTGTAAACAAGAGTGCAATCTCGGATGTTCTTTCACAGGAGCTGTCCTTCTCACCTGTCAGTGCTGGCTGGGAATACAACCTGGGGCCACCAAGCCCGGCTTTTCTCGTGGTGCTGGCGCTCAGTCTTCACGCTTTTACCGTCTGCTCTTTACCCACCGACCGTCGCCCTAGCCCCGCCTACGGCTTCCTACCGTCCTTAAGAGGATCCCAGTAGCAAGTCGTTCTAGTCTTTACCTGATTGCCCAGCACCGCGGTGGCACAAGCCGTTGACACCTCCTTGGGTCCAAACCACACGGAGGCGATGCGGGAGGGCAAGCCCAGGATGAAGACCTGCGCCACGGAGCACAGGCTCTGCCCCAGCATGGTGACCCAGAAGAGGTGCCGCTGCACGCTGCCGCACTTGACCCAGGCGCCCAGGCAGTTGAGGCCGGAGCCCAGCAGCGCCGTGAGCCGCAGGCCTCGCGTGTCCAGCAGCCAGGTGGCCGGGAAGATGAGGGGCACGTAGGCCAGCATGTACACCATGGACAGCCAGTTGATGTGCAGCGCCGACACGCCGTAGAAGCCCTCGAACACGTTGCTGATGATGCTGTACTGGATCCAATGGAAGGCGTTCACCAGCGAGTACGAGCTGAAGATGAGCAGCACCACGAAGCGCCGCGGCGACAGCGCCGTGCGCGGGGAGCGCGTGGAGACCGGGTCGTCCTCTCCACCGCCTGCGGGCAGCAGCCGGGCCTGGGTCTCCTCCTCCGCTGCCAGCAGGGCTTGGGGTCCGTCCGGGGATCCCGCGATCACGGGGCCGTGTTCCGGGCCTCCGATCTCCGCCTCAGGCCCTTCCTGCAGCTCCGCGTGCGCCTCCCCGTCCGGGGCGCCTCTCAGCACCGGAAGGTATCCCTTCGCCAGCGGGTGCCCGGGCGCCACGGCCGGCCCCTCGTCGTCGTCGTCGGGCCGCGCCATGCCTCCCAGCTCCCCGCCCCGCCGCTCCTTTACCCTCCCCGCCGGCTCCACGCTCCAAGCCCGGGGCCGAGCGCTCGACCGGGCCGCCCGCTGACTAAGTGGAGCTGCGCGCGCCGCACTGGGCAGTCGGGCTCTCGCCGGTAGGCTCCGCCCCCGGGGCGCCGCGTATCACAGGGTGACGGCGCTTCGACCAATCATTGGACGCACTCGCAGGCTGGGAAGCCAATCAGGGAGTTGCCGGGAAGAGAGGCGGGATCAAACGGGTGAGGCGGTGAAGGGAGGCGTTCTGCCCCTCTTGGATGCTCGCTGCTCTAGGCCTCTTCCAGCGCTCGCTCCGAGGTAACCTCGGGTTACCTTGGAAGGGGAGTTCGGGGAGCGCTGCAGTCCAGCCAGGGAAGAGGTCAGGAGCAGGCTCGTGCGGCCAGAAACCACCCGCCTCCATCCACCCAGAGGACCGAAGGCGATGGGACAAGGCGCAGCCCCTGCCTGCCTCTTGTTCCCATCCTGTGACCAAGACCGGATGAGGACAGAGCTCTAGAAGTCTCAGGGGCTTTCTGGACCACCGACAAAGTCAGCCTACATCCCTTTGGGAAGCTGTGTGTGGAAACACGGGGTGCCAGACTTTGACAGACTCCTCCTCCCTTTCCTTTCCGCTATTTTTTTAGACGGGGTCTCACTTTGTTGCCATGGCTGGCTCGGGACTCTATAGAGACAGGTAGACCCGCAATTCATAGAGATCCACCTGTCTCTGCTTCCTAGGTGTTGGGATTAAAGATGGGCGCCCCCATGCCTGGATGAACTCTGTCTAATGGGCAAGGCATGGCTGTGGCACTAATGAACTCCTGATGGCTGCAGGTACCTGCACAAGGCCTGAGCCAGACTGAGCTTTCACCTTCGGTCTTTGGGAGATAGGAGGGGAATTAATAGTGAGTCTTTGTAGATGGTGATGCAGCTGCTGGGAATTGCCCGTGCTCTAGGGAATAGCTCCACAAAGCACTTTGTAAATGAATTCATTTTAAGAAAAAGCGTGTATAAAGCGAGACTGCTCAGTGGGTAAAGTCTCCTTTTGCCAAGTCTACCAACCTGAGTTGATTCCTCAGCACCCACACGATGAGGGAGAGAACAGGCTCCTGTGAGTTATAGTCCTCTGACCTCCACACAGGAGCAGCCCACGCGGGTGCATGCACACACACACACACACACACACACACACACACACACAGTCTATGATTAAAAAAAAGAGAGAGAAAACATACATTTTTCACAATATGATTTTGTAAATGTTGATTTGGACATTTTACATTACAGAGTAATGGTCTCTTGACTGAAAAAATATAAATAAATGTAGGATCGAATTCATCTTTACATAAAAAATATTTTGTGAATATATAAAAACGTGAGTTAGCTGGGTGGTGGCGCACACCTTTAATCCCAGCACTCGGGAGACAGAGGCAGGCAGGCAGGTCTCTTAGTTCGAGGTCATCCTGGTCTACAAAGCAAGTTCCAGGACAGCCAGGACTATTACACAGAGAAACCCTGTCTCAAAACAAACAAAACAAAACAAAACACGAGTTGATTGTGCTTTTAATACTCAACATAATTTATATTAAGTATTCATCAGTGTCTTGCTAATGTTCTCAGGTACCATGGAATGTTCTGTGAAGGCTCTGAAGAAACCTGTTTGAGTTGGGCACAGTGGCACAGGCCTGTTGTCCCAGTTACCTGGAGGCTAAGGCAGAAGAATCACTCAACCCCACAGATTTAAAGCTAGCATGGAAGCCTAGACAACACAGCAGGGACCACATGTGAAAATTCTACTTGAATTTTTTGTTTTGTTTTTTATACGGAGTCTCATGTAGCCTAGGCAGGCCTTGAATTTGCTGCCTCGGCCTCCCAAGGACTGAGATTGCAGCCGTGTGCCACCGTGGTCAGTTTTATGCAGTGCTGAGGAGCTACCCCGGGGCTTTGTGCATAGCAGGCAGTCACTCTACCAGCTGAGTTTCATCCCAGCCCAAAACAAAAGTGTTCAGGAAGGGGATCCAGTGACTGGATGCTGCGCTTCAAGGTCATTTGTCTTCTCCGTTGCTGGCGAGGACTGGTTGACAACTGCCTAAGTTTCTGGCATAGGCAATCAGCTTTAATTTTCCTCCACAGATGTTTGTCACTCTTGTTCTTTCTCACGTGCCTTCCCTGCACATGAAAAAGTTGTGTTTCTAACACTATAACCGTACATGGACCCTGCTGCCTAGGGGAGTCTGTAGAAATGGGAAGGCATATCATAACTAAGGACAGGCTACATAGGTACACACACACAATACACACACAAAACATACACACAGAATACACACATGTGTATGATTAGAGTTATCTATACGTACACTTTTGAGGCAGGGTCTCTCTACATAGTACTGACTGTCCTAAAACCCACTACATAGATCAAGCTGGCCTTGAACTCACAGAGCTCCTCCTGCCTCTGCCTCCTGAGTGCTGGGATTAAAGGTATAGGACACCACAGCTGGCTATGTAGATGTAAACCCCACCTTTAGTTTTCACTGGGTGTGTGACCTGGGGCACTTTACACAGCTGCTCTGTAATAGGGTGGCAGAATCCTCTGTGGGAGACTATGATGAGTAAGAGGTCGAACAAGACTTGGTATGTGCCAGGCTTTCTCGGGTTAGCGGGTGAGTGATCCAGTGTGGTGGGGGGGATGTCAGACTTCAGAGGTGAGGGTTCCGATCCTTGCTCCTTCACTGTTTGACTGTTGGAATAGTCTCCCCTCCCCAGTGTGTACACGTGTCCGTATGTGCAGCTGTAAAATGAGGTCACTGTTGATGGCATTGTTGTGAAAAATAAATGATTAGTTAATACTACACCTTCTAGGAGACACTGATTTTTCCTATTTTTATATTCAGTCACTACTACCACCATTATTATCTGCTCATATCTTTGTGTTTCTCATATCTTACTGTTTTTCATTAATTTAGGTTATACTCCAGTTGGTCTAAGCCTGCTTGGATTGTTGTTATGTGATGTTTTACTCTTTTGGCTTTTGGAGGGGCCTGTTGGGAGCTGTGAACCCCCAGATCCTGAATTTCTTGTAAACAATGTGTTATGCTTGCAGCTGCTCTCAGCACGAGACCCTCAGGAGTTTCTGATGACAGGGGAGTGATTTCTGGTGGGTTTGGCTGGGGCGTGACTATCCCTATATAAGCGGCCCCTGAACACAATAAAGGTGGCATTCTTGAGGCTTTCCTGTTTCAAGGATGAGCAGTGTCTTGGTGTGTTTAAGTCTCCAGGCCCTTGCCTGGCTTGCGAATGGCCCTGTAGAGCAGGCGCTGCAATACAGGAGTAGTGCCGTACTGTCACTTAGTACGGGCGGGCGGTAAGGGGCCCACCACCCAGCTCCCAGAGAAATCACACAAAAGGCTTATTCTTAGTTAGGAATGCCCGGTCTTACTTTGGCTTGTTTCTTGTCAGGTTTTCTTCGCTTAAATTATCTCGACTATATCTTATTTTCACTCTTACTCCACGGCTGGCCGACCCCGGATGTCCTTCAACCCTTGTTCTCTTGCTCCTCCTCTTCCTCTTTATCTGCTGTTTATACTCCCTGCCTGCCAGCCCTCCCAATCCTCGCTCCTGCCTCAGCGCTTTATTAGACCATCAGGTGTTTCAAATAGACAAGGATTTGTAGCTTCGTGGCATTAAACAATACAGCATAAACAAAAACACCACAGCTTAAAATAATATTCCCCAGCAGATTGTTGTGCAGTTGTCCACCAAGCACTTTCAACTTGAATATATAGTGGTAGGGTCCGTCCCCAGTGGGTGCTCTCAGGGTGCTCCTGCTTCTCCTGAAGCAAAGCATTGGGCGGTTCATCTCACAAGCTCACTGCCTGACAAGGACACCCTTCTTTGACCAGAGGCAGTCAACAGTCAGATGAACCACCATTTTCCTTGGGCTGGGCGACCACGTGACTACCGACATCATCCCCACGACCATTAAAAACTGGTCTGAACAGGTATGTTAGGGATACAATTCCTGAATTCCACAGAATTCTCAGAAAACTGAGCTGTATGATGTCTGAGATTTCTTCCGACATTATTGCTGTACGCGAAGTAAAGGAAGACGCGTCTCAGGGACTAATTAGATGAAATTCATATGCCTCTTTCAACAAAGCTCCATGAAGAATGGAATATAGAAAAAGAAAATTCAGCATTGTCTCTTTGTACCTGACTTTTCTGTCTTGAGGTAGGTACTGATTAACCAGTGTAGGCATGACTCATGCTCTGTACCATGTGTTAGGGTGTAGACTATGACATGAACCTTACTCTGTTGGAAAGGACACCACCGCAAGCATCATTTGGCCAGAAGTCAAGATCAGATGGAGCTGTATCATTAGTGTTAAATACCAACCCGTAGAGGTTTGAATAGTAACAGTTCGGTAATATGGAACCTGACCAGCACCTGGGAGTCAAGGTCCAAGACACCATCAGAAGTGATGTGGCTGTTCTTGAGCAAAGGTTTCCTACAGTCTAAGAAACCCAGAGGATGGGGACCAATGCTAATATGGTTCGTTGTGCTTTATGGGGAATGGACAGATTGACTTTTACGGCTGTGACCATGTTCCATCTGCCTGAGCAGCACCTTTGCCGAGGTGGGGAAGTCCAGAGATTAAAATCCTGCTGTGTGTACACTCCCCACCTCACTGAGACATTTTAGCTGTGCACATATTGAATGCCTAGAATGAAAATTTTAGGACTTTCCCTCCTGTGTTTTTGGTTTTCTTCCTCTTTGTCCTTTACAGCAACTGAAGTGAAGTTGAAGTTGTCGGTGAAATGAAACCCAATTGGTGGGTGAGAACACACCATTCTTCTAGATCTTAGAACTGTGCGTCAAATCTGGGGCCAGCCATTCCACCTTAACCTCACTGTGAAGGTGACAGGAATTGTTCAAGCTCTGTGATTATCAACTTCAAATTCCTTTAAACATTTAAATTCTATTTAAGGTTAAATATGGGATCTGTATTCCCCTA